GATCTAGCTGGAGAAAGGGAAAAGATTCGCAGAAAAATCAACTTCAACGAATATGATTCAATGCGAGTAGGAGAAAATTATGGGGAGAAATCTCCGCCCCATAACCAGTCTTCACCAGGGAAAATCGTCGAGAGAAAATATGACTCCGCGAAACGGTGGAACTCCTGGAAGACCCAAGAAATGGTAAGGATTCATTAAAGTTATCTTACAAAGATGCTTTAATGAAAACTTATGACTTTCAAGGGACCAGAGCCTTTACAAATAACCCGAGGGACTCCAAAAGAAGCAAAAAAATCTAGGGTTTGTACCGGTACTGGAGAACTTGGGGAAATAAATAAGGAGTGTGGAAAGAAGCCAACCGTTCCACGCAATCAACGTCCTCTCCCGACACCAGCCCACAGCGACTACCCATACCCAAGGGAAGACGTTGGTGGAGATGAAGCAACTCATGAGGAAACTGGGGGTCTACAAAATGTTGTAGATGCCCCGTACTTCTCTTTCGGATGCATCCAGTTCAGCATATTCGGCATCAACAACTCATAGAGTCGTCAAGGAAACTCCTGGCCCTAGGGAAGAATTCTTCTCCAAGCAGCCTCGGCCAGCTGCCTGTTCAGGAGTAGATAGCAACCAAAAGGTATGTACGGAATATTGGGATGTACCCTATGATCCTATTAATGAAACTATTGGCCACGAGTAGATAGCAACCAAAGGTGTGTTTGGAATATTGGATCTACCCTATAATCCTATTAATGAAACCATCCTTAGCTACTCCAAACAACTCGTGCCCCTTGTGCTCGATGTCGCTTGCAAAGAGCGACGCCTCTAAGCATTGGTGGACAGCGAAGTGTCACAAACCGTATGGGAGAAGGCAGCAACTGACCGACTTCGGGAAGAGTGCAAGCCTTCAGCATTTTCTGCAACAATAGTGGACGGCAGCAAGTTACCAGTTTACGAAGAAGCAGTGTTACATCTACAATTGGGCCACTTCGCTAGAGACCTACCCTTCCCGTCACCAATAGAGAAGTGTTGACTTGATTTTCGGGAGGGACTTCCTAAGAAAATTCAACCCCGAGATCAATTGGGTCAACTGCACAACAAGCATCTACAACAATGGAAGGAGAGTCCAGCTATCAAACTGGGACGACACATGATACATCCCAGTAGAGACACTCGCTAGATTCGAGAAGAACATGAATGAACTGACACCGGGTCTCGGGCGATAGCAACAGATGTAGAAGACGATGGAAAGATAGTCTCGGAACCTCCACAGAATATCAAAGAGTTACCTAAGGAGTTCTAGGGCATTCTTTTTTACAACCTTCCAAACGAGCTACCGCCGTAGCGAGCGCACCAATACGAGATCGTAGAAGAACCAGGTTTGAAGCCGAACTTTTGAGCACCCGGCTCAGCCCTATAGTACTAGCCGATGTAAAGAAACAAAACGAGTATCTTTTGGAAAAAAGGACCCATCATACCATCTACTTCACCATATGGTGCCCCAGTACTCTTCAAACCGAAATTGGACAGAATCCTGCGCACGTGCATTGACTACCGAGCTCTCAACAAGCAGACCATAAAAAATGGGTAATTATTCGCTGGTAACTCTTACTGTTCATTTCCCCGATTCAGTCACTCCTTTCTCAGCTCAGTCAACTATTTAGCGAGTTGAAATCAGTGGCGTCAAACTTTATGTTCAGTTTGATGCCGCGTGGCAAATTTTTGCGACACGTGTCATGAAAATACGAAATCTCATAGAATAGGGGAACTATCATATATGACAGCAATCTGTCATAACCAGACATTCGATTTCAACTTCCATTCAAATGTCGCAATAGATTAATTTCGCGAAGTCATACCATCCAAGTGTCGTCTTGTTGTAGCTAGAAACAATGAGCAGCCAAAGCGCCCTATGTTTTCGTAACTGGCGTGTGCAGATTTACTTGTTACGAAAACCCCTGATACTAGTAAATCCACACACACGGCACCAAACTGAAATCGTGTGTGAATTTACTTGTTACGAATTGAAGTACCTTGAATTTTAGGTCCTGAGTATCTTACCATCGAAGCTCTTTGGGATCTCGCCCTTTTGGGACATGTGAAGGTAAATTTTGCCATGCAGTATCAGACATAACAAAAAGTTTGACACCACTGATTTCGACTAGAAAAAAGGTTGACTGTTATTAGAAAAGAATGACTGAATCGGGGAAACGAACAGTAAGAGTTACCCAGCATATAATTACCCTATTCTATTCTACGAATCGGCTTCGGGAAGCCACGATATTTCTGGATACTGGATTTGCCTTCTGAACTTGTTACGGGTCGTACGAGTACTTGGTAATGCTGTTTGGACTTACTAAAGCCCGACAACCTTCCCAGCAGAAATGCGCCACACTTCACGCCTATCACTGAACAAATGCGTGGTGGTATACCTGGACAACATTCTCATCTACTCGCGCGATATATAGCATCGCGTCAAACACTTATGATGCAAAAAATACCAAAGAATACCGTGATGTCATGTATGCCAGACACTTCGATAGCAACAAGACACTCACCGGTATTGCAAAACACTATTACTGGCCCCAGATGGCAGGCGACGTACAGAAATATGTCACCTCGTGCGACACATGTCAGCGGATGAAGAGCAATAAGCAGAATGAAGTGGGACTACTACAGCTTCTCCATGTCCCAGAATAGCCATGGCAAGTGGTCAGCCTGGATTTCATCACCAGGTTGCCACCTAGCAGCAGTAGTCATGACGCAATCCTTGTTGTCATCGACAAATTCTCCAAAATGGGACACTTCATCCCGACACATACGACAGTACGCACTGAGGAGACGACTCAATTGTTCGTATGCTACATCATCTCACTTCATGACATTCCAACCATACTCATCGCCTACTGAGACCCCAAGCTCACCAGAGAGTTCTGGATGGAAGTGATGTCTCTGTTCGGCACCAAACTCGTCATATCATCATCGTATTGCCAAAAAAAAGACCGCCACCCGCTCAGTCCACAAAAACCGACAGTACCAGCCACCATCCAAGTTGCGCACGATTTCATCACAATCATGCACCAGCTTTGGGATCGGACCCCCAAGCGCCTCTTGGACATCCAGCAGCAACAAAAGCGCCCGGCCGATCGTCATCGTGGTGACCACACCATCAACGTAGGAGACCATGTCCTACTTGACACCCACAACCTCGATATCAGCTACCTCCCATCCAAGCTACGTATTTGCTTCTACGGGCCTTGCTCATTGAAGAACAAGTCACTCCCTGTAACCTTCCACTTACGCCTGCCAGCTACTTGGAAGATTCACAATGCCTTCCATGTCCAACTTCTAAAGCCCTACCAAGATCCCAACACGATCTTCACTGGACGCCAACCACCGCCGTCGCCGCCCGTGATAGACCCAAGTATAAGGTCGATGTCTGTGCTTGCACATCGACGTCGTCAGCATGGCACCTTGGAGCTTCTCATCTGTTGGGAGGGTTATGATCCTTATGAGGATAGTTGGGTCTATGAATCTGACATGGGTAACGCCCGTCATCCTCTTCGTGAATACCTTGTCAAGCAGCCTATTACTTCAAGCACCCAACTTTTAAGGGGGGGGAGTATGAGAGTACGACCTCGTTACACTTCTTTCTCATTTCCATATTTCTTCCTTATTTTGCTCTCTTTTTTCATTTGGTCTCTATCTCATCTCATTTGGTTTCCTATTAAAAATTTCCATTATCATTTGGTTTATCATATTAATATAATTATATCACCGACCATGCTCGTGATGTACTGGCGCGTTATGGCTAGCGTAATCGTGTTGTAATCCCTTCAAGCCAATAGCATTGCGTGGTTATACACATGGTGACTCTATTTTAAGAAGGGTCTATTTCCTTTGGATATGATATACCTGGTTACCTGATGTACCATGAAAAAACAACAAGTATCGACGTGAAAACCTCGAAGGGGTTGCGTAGTTAGTTATCTGAAGATTTGTAGCTGAAGATGTAAGTGTATGTCCATCACAAATTGCAATGTGTTATGATATAGGAAGTGTCAATGAACTATAATGTGAGAATACAAGGTCGTTATTGCAATGAAGGCACGAGGTTATATAGGGGTTGGCATGCTAGGGCGATTACCTCGGAACGTGGGTAGGTTCGGCAATGTGGCGACAGTGCCGGACACGACTCGGGAAAGGGTTGGGCCGACAAATGAGGCCAAACGTGACGAGTCGAGGAGTTCGGATGTACGCACTAGTGTACGACTCAGTAAGGAATGGAAATTCCTTACACTCCCCCCCCCCCCTCCTAAACGAGGCCGCGGGCATCGAAAACATTATGACGCTGATAATGCGCGGTTAGAATCGGATGTGATTCTATGTTAGCGAGGGGCACCCAGCTGTCATCCTCAGACGTCCGATCACGCCTCTGATGAGAAAATCCACCATTCGACGGTTCTGTTGCGTTGTTACTCTATGGTCGAGAATCTTCAAGGGTTCGGTCGTCGGTTCCTGCAGGAGCGTCAGCTGCGGTACGATACGCCGACGTGCCAAAACCGACAAACTGGGAACGTAGGGTCGAAGAAGCCTGACGTGGAAAGCCAGGTGGTGACGCCAATCCGCCGGTAGTCGGAGGTGAGCAGTGTCAGGTGTCACCATGTTGGTCACTTGAAAGAGACCACAGAATCGTGGCCGGAGTTTACTCGGGATCTAAAGACGCAAGTTTCGAGTGTCAAGTAGGACGAGATCTCCCACTTTGTAAGTGACGTCACGGCGATGACGATCAGCTTGTCGGCTTGCGACCAGGTTGGCTTTCCTGATTGCCTCAGCTACTTTTTCTCGGGTGGCGAGGATGTTTTTGGCAAATCTCTGGGACCGAGGCGCGAGTGTCTCAATATTTGGTGTAGAAGGTACCATTGGGTCCTGTCCGTAATTTAGGAAAAATGGGGATTGATGGGTTGTGGTAGAAGGCGTGTTATGATACGCGGATTCCAGCAGTGGAAGGGATTTCTCCCATGTCTGTGGGTTAGTGCAAGTAGTCCGAATGAGTATGGTTTACTCGTTCGGTCTGCCCGTCAGTCTGTGGGTGGTAGGTTGAAGAAAACTGTAGTTTGGTGCCGAATTGGTCCCACGGGTGACGCCTGAAATTCGATGTGAATTTCGGGTCTCGGTCTGAAATAATGGCGGTGGGCAGTCCGTGCAGTCTGATGACGTTGGTGATGAATAGTTGGGCAGTTTGCTCAACTGTGATCTTCTGTTGGCAGGCGATGAAGTGCGCCATTTTTGTGAGTCGGTCAACGACCACGAGGATGGCGTCATTTCCCCTGGGACCGGCCGGCAATCCTGTCACGTAGTCCCTCGTGACGTGTTGCCAGGGTCTCTTGGGCGGATCCAATGGCTGTAGTAGTCCGGCTGCTTGCTGATGGGATGATTTCATGATCTGGCAGGCGGTGCATGAAAACACGTACTTGCGCATGTCGTCGGCCATGTTTGGCCAATAATAATTGCGCTGCCGGGGGAACGGCCTCACACAGCTTCTCGATATCTTTTGTCTCGACCGTCGATGTCACCTCGCGAAGATCAACGGCGTACGCTGCAGCTCCCGCATTTATCGCGCGCTTGAAAGTACTCGCATGGACTTGGGTGCTTTGCATGCAAGGCCCTGTCCACTTGGGCAGCTTTCGGAAAATTCCATCGAGCTTGATGCTGCAACCGCCCGTCATCCAGTCAATCAATCACCAATCATGTCCCAGCAGTATGTCGCATCCATCGTGAGTAGTCGCCAGTAGTCCCATCCGAAATTTTACATGCTCCCCATACGTAAAGACGACGTTCTCCACTCTTTCTCGTATTGCCAGCGGTGTTCCGTCCACCAAGCAGGCGTCGATTTTGGGTAGACACTCGAGTAAGGGTATACCCGATTTCTTAGCCCTGTCTAGTTGTATGAGACTGGGACTTGCGCCCCCATCAACAAAAATCTTCAATAACACCCCGTTGACTTTACCCTCCACCAACACAGGGTGATCAGCAGTTTCGTCCCCCTTATTCGTCCGGGTCCGGTCGATTGTAGGAATCGGGATCATGACCTGGTGGGGACTGTGTGGCTCGGGCGAAGAATCCTGCCCGTCAGTAAGGGGCCCGATACTTACTGACGCGACCCATTTCCCGGTCGCTCCTCTGGCTTCTTCCCCATAAAATTCTGGAGCGCTATGAATTCTTGGCAGCTACGTTGGATGTGACCCGGTCGGCCACATGGTAGCATAGCCTCGTATTTTGCAGAGCAACTGCGTAAATATCCATTGCGTCCACCCCTTTTATCGTGGCGCGCTGGTACTGTTCTCAAGGGCGACCTCCATCATAGAAGTTCATCCTCGGCTTTGTGATCGAATCAGCGGCTTCGGCGAGCGGGATGTAGACTTATAACCGCTTCACATGGCGTTGCAGTTTTATCTGGTACTGTATTTTAGGCTTCAAGCCGCCCATGAACCTGTCGACCTTCTCCAACTCATGCATGTAGCCACATTTGTCCACCAACGTCAGGAAGGACGCAGTGTAGTCGGACACAGATCCCAGCTGCTTCTACATGCGTAATGTTTCGCATGCCTTGTCTGAGTCAGGAGCATGCTCAAACCGCTTGCGAAGCTTTGTGCACCACGTTGCCCACGTGCAAATGTGGGTCGCTCCGAACAACAGATCTTCCTCGTCTTCGTCGCCGAATTCTTCGGACCACTCATGCTGTTCTTCTGTGCGAGTTGCCGCTGAGTCGGCGATGACCTTCCACCACTGTAGGGCAGCCCCTTGCAACAGTGTTAACGCGTGGCTGATCCGCTTCTGATCGTCTCTGATGCCCGCCACGTTAAAATAGATATTCATATATTAATGGCGAATATCCACTGCCGCACTGTCACGCCTTTATTTGCTGAGTCGAAAGGAGTGGGTCGCTGATATCTTACGCTGCCACTTGTCGAGCGCGGGGCTGTTGCTGCTAGTTGTGCCGGCTCCACTGGTGACGGTTGCTGCTCACCCGTCTCGCTTTGTGCATCGTCGCCCGGCTCCTTTGGACGCCTCTCCTGCGCCCGGCGAAGTCGCTGGTTCTCGCCGCGGAGGTCGTTGACAACGCTTGTCAAGTTCTTCAACTGCTCCATTAATGTTTGCATGTCCACAGTTTCCTGGGCAGGGTTCGCAACAGTCGAGGTGGACTGTCCCTCAACCGTTGAGTCTACCGTGGCCATGGCGGTCGGACGGAGCAGAAGCTAGCGCACACGCTGTAGTTGTTGACGTAAAAATATTTACAATCCAAGATAATTGTTGTGCAGCCATGCTAATCACCTCTAACCACCCTTAATAAGGTAAACAGGAAGCGGAAGGTTCTTGGAAATCTCAGGCTTTGATACCAGCTGTTATGATACAGGAAGTGTCAATGCACTATAACCCCTACATACTGTAACCTCGTGCCTTCATTGCAATAGCGCCGTGCAAGCTGGCGCCGAGTGCGCTAGCGCCATGCAAGCTGGCGCCGAGCGCTCTGGCGCAGAGTGCTCTGGCGCCAAGCGCTCTGCCACCAAGCGTGCTGGCAACGTGCGCACTAGCGCCAGCACGCATTGGCGCAGAGCATGCTGGCGCCGTGCGAGCTGGCGCCAAGCACGCTAGCATCAATACGCACTGGCGCAGAGTGCGCTGGAGCCGTGCGAGCTGGTGTCGTGTGCAATGGCGCCAAGCGCGCTGGCGCAGTGCGAGCTGGCGCCGAGCGCTCTGGCGGTGAGCGCGCAGGTGCCCTGCGTGCTGGTGTTGTGCGTGCTCGCGCCGAGCGCTCTGACGCCGCACGTGCGGGTGCTGTGCGCGCTGGCGTCGAGCGCGCTTGCGCCGTGTGGACTGGCGTCAAGATCTCTGGCGCAGTGCACGATGCTTTGTCGTTCTGCCATTTCTGCAGGTGAGCGAGCATACCACCAACACCAACTGCAGGTGAGATTCGCTTCAGCTAGGTGCACCTCTCTTCTTCGTCGCCTTGTTATCGTCACAATTACAATTATCTCGCTTGTATGTTTGTTGCTGTATTGGTTGTTGTCTCATGCGTGCGTGCATGCATCGGGCGTGCGTGCATGCGTACGTGCATGCCTGTGTCGGGCGTGCGTGTGTGCATCCCTGCATGTGTCCATGCAGGGGGTAGTCATGCGTGCGTGTATGCGCGTGTGCGGGCGGGCAGACGAGCGTGCGGACGTGCGTGCATGCTTTGGGCATGCGTGCATGCTTCGGGCGTGCATGCATGTGGGCGGGTGGGCGTGCGTGCGTGCGTTGGGTGGGCGGGAGTGCGGGCATGCATGTGTGCGTTAGGTGGGTGGGCGGGTGTGTTTGCATGCAGGCGCATGGGCGTGCTTGTGTGCGTGTGTGTGTGCATTCAGGTTGGCAGGCGCTTGGGCGTGCGTGCGTGCGTACCGGCGGGAGGGCGGGCAGGGGGGTGGGCGGGCTAGCGTGCGTCTGGGCGTGTGTGCGTGCGCGTGTTGGGCATGCGGGCATGCGTGCGGGTGTGTGTGCGTGTGTGCATGCGTACGTGTGTGCAGGCATGCGTGCGTACGTTTGGCATGCATGGGTGTGTGCATCCATCCCCACATTTCTCCATGTTCCCTCGAAACATGTGAAGACTCTTGTATCTCTAAAGATGAAAGAGGGGTAACTGGATGGGAAAGGAGGGAGGGAGGGAGGGAGGGAGGGAGGGAGGGAAAAAGGGGGGGAGAGAAGAGAAAGGGGGTGGGGGGGAAGGAGGGAGTAGGATGGAACAAGGAAGAGGGAGAAAGGGATTGACGTGGGAGAGGGAGCGAACGACTTAGGGATGGAACGATGTGGGGAGAGATGGTTGTCGGGGGTGTGTTGAGATTAGTGGTGTGTTGAGTGTTGAGCATTACTAAGAGCTTTTCTTTGCGCTCTCACATTTTCATGCAAGCCACTTTCGGGGTGAAGGAGGAGCTGGAAAGTAGAAAAGGAGGGGGAATGGGATGGGGATGGGGAAGATGGAGTAAGGGGAGGAGGGGGAGGAGGAAGGTGGTAGAAGAGGGAAGGGAGGGAGGGTTTTGAGGGGTGTGCCTGAGTATTCTTAAGTATTTACACAAGATTAGCTTCTGGTCATGCCGGTGCTTTATCTCTCAGATTGTGTTCGCATCCATTACATGCCCATGTGCGTTCCAGTTTTGTTGGTATGCTGGAAGGACGTCATGCGTTTCGTGTTTGTCTGTACACGCGACTGTGGTCATCTATATTGTTTTGGGCGTATTCGTTAAGTGCCACATGTTTTTTGTTGCAGCTAGAGGTTGTTGTGATCGTCACTCGGCAACATTGTTGTCAGTGTCAACTTATACGTATTTGTATATGTGGCAGTTATAGGCTAGAAGGGATCGTGCTCTTAGAGAATACAACACCCAACCATATATTCCTCTTCTATCCCTTCTTTCTACTCAATGAGCTATTCTGAGATGGTATCAGCTAGGTTAGGTCTACCCACCCGCGCTTCCGCCCTAGCCCTCGCGCCACCCTAGCCCGCCCGCTGGCCTTCGCGTGTCGCGTGACCCCTCGAGTGCCGCACGACTCATAGCTTGCTCGCTCGCCCAGCTCGCCGGCCCCTGCTCGCCGGCCCCTCCTCGTAGGCCCTAGGTCAACGGCCCGAGCTCGACGGCCCCTACTCGCCGGCCCTAGCTCGCCGACCGCAACTAACGCCGGCCCCAGCTCCCGCTGGCCCCACCTCGCCCGCCCCTGCTCGTCGGCCCCAATTCGCGCTGGCCCCAGCTCGCCGGCCCCAGCTCCTGCCGGCCCTAGCTCCTGCCGGCCCCAGCTCGCCGGCCCATGTTTGCCGGCCCCTGCTCGCCGACCTCAGCTCGCGCCAGTCGTAACTCGCCGGCCCCAGCTCCCGCCGGCCCCAGCTCGCCGGCCCTTGCTCGCCAGCCTCAGCTCCCACCAGCTCATCGGCCCCTGCCTGCCGGCCCCAGCTCACCAGCCTCAGCTCGCCGGCCCCAGCTCACCAGCCCCTGCTCGCGTCGGCCCTAGTTCTCGCCGGCCTTAGCTATCACCGGCTCTGGTTCCAATCTGCGCCAGCGCTCCTGCAGCTTTCTCCTCTACCACTCTCCATCGCTCTTCACTGCTCTCCACCACTCACCACCCATCTCCACCGCACTCCATCGCTCTCCACCACTCACCACCCATCTCCACCGCACTCCATCGCTCTCCACCACTCTTCACCGCACTCCATTGCACCTGCCTGCCCGCTACTCCTCCTCCGCCAGCGATCGTCAATCGCTGCGGCTGAGGTGATGGCAAACGCGGTGCTCCGCCTGGACGCGGAGGGTCGGGCGGTCGACTTTGAGGCGTGGCTCGCCGACCTCCGCCACCAGCTGAAGGGTCAACGCCAGGATGGCCAGTCCCTGGCCGTCCACATCAACGGTAAGCTCCCCTGCCCTGACCTACCTGCTGCCCTCCCTGCTGCCCCCACGCCTACTGAGTGTGAGGCTTTTGCAGCTACTGAGCTTGCCCGCTGTGTCTGGGAGTTGCGCGACGCTATCGCGCAGCTTGCTATCAGTCACGCCCTCCCCCTATCCGAGCGTCCCCGCTTTCAGGCCGTAGAGACGGCGAAGGAGTACCTAGATGCTGTCATTGCGCG